CCCCCCTTCCCTTTAACAAGGTGTAACTTCAAAAAAACATTCTACCGGAACATAAGCTTTAATATAATATAATTGTAGAGCCCTTTCCGCTTAAATATCTTTTGAGGGGATGACTTTAATGTCAAAGTAACATTTGTTTTCTGTTTAGTTAGTATGAAGACGCAGACATAGCAAAAAAAATCGTTCGGATCGGTTAATATTTCGATGAAATAGAGCGTGGACGCGAAAGTGACCCATTCGCGGAGAACTGCTCAACCTAAGTTAAAGTTGTTAGGAAAGATTCGTGACTGGTTTTGAAGTATATCGCACAGAGTGTAAATACATTATTTTCTTAAACGCCTGTTTTGGGGGAAAACAATATTATTTTATTCATACATGTAATACTGTAATCACATTATGATCGGCAAAAAAGAGCTTATTAGAATAATGTCAACTTTGGCTGCAGCCAGTAATGCTTTTGCTTTTCTAAGCACACCCCACACACCTCACACTGACTGTGAAGTGCTGCCCCTAGCCTTTGGAATTACCTCGACCCTGAGCGTCAAGCCTGCCGGGACGGGCAGGGAGACACTCGGAGAGACCTGTTTGACAACTCCTCTGGGACGCTTCCTGCGAGTGTTCAGCCCATTGTGCCATAATGCGCTAACAGCACAACGTTGTCTTTACTTTCATTCCTGTGTTTCAGCGTCTTACCTGACCGCCTGTTCAATCAAGGATCCTAAAATCAACGAATGTGTCGTAAGGAAGGGGCGAGCTGCCATTCCATTCATCATCAACGGTAAGATGGGTGACAAACGCCGGGAGCACACATACACATAGAAAAGACACACACACACATACACACACACACAACTGTGTTATTCTGTTTTTGCTTCGAGCGCGGAACTTAATTTTCTAAGCACACCGTGCTTGTTCATGTGAGTTTGACGAATGGGCTGCGCAAACTGTTTACTGTTACAGGAGACCCTAAGTACCGGGTGCCCAACATGAACCCCATGGTGATCCCTGAGCTGGCGCTGTGGCAAGGCACGAGCGCGGTGGGCCTGAAGCTCGCATGGAAGAATGCAGAGATACATGGGCTCAAGGACGCTGATTTTCTGGATTGCGAGTGAGTACTTGAGGTCAGCTGCAGTGGGAGGGGCGTGGATGATGTGTGTAACCGGGAGAGGAGGAGGGGGTGGTG